TCTTCTAGGAATATTTGACACTGTCCTTCACTTTACATGCAGTGATTAAACAATATTAAAAAATAGACTGGAAGAGATGTGTCAGTAGAGCAAACTCTCGAAACTGCTATGTTCACCTTCAGAGTTCATAATATTCAGTCCGTTTTCACCATTCGTAGTGCTTATTGCTTGGCACCACGGAAATATATTTTTGTGAATGGCGCTTTTAATTCTTCCACATCACTGTGTGGTACCTGAAGTCGTCTCAGTAACTACGCTACGGCAATTGCAGCATATCTTCAGTATTGATGTTTGTTTGAAAAGTAAGTTCCTTGTGGACTCGTTAGCCTTGGAAAGCTGACAAGAACTCAATATTGGTTGAGGTTCGAGTTAGAACTCTTCTTGGATTTATCAATAATCCTGCGGCATACCCTGAATACTGCAGAATTACATACTTTTTCGAAAAGAGCAAGAAATAGTGTGCTTAATTTTCAGAGATTTTTCAATAAATGCATTCGCGAAATAATGTACTCAAATTAGAGACATTCACGGTCTCTATTGTAAAAAGTCAGCACCTAACGAATCTGACACATTAGATATTACAACTCTTATTGACTAAGTCAACTCGCATAATATTCATTCTCCTCCTGTTTCTTCGATCTGAACTGGTGATGTAGCAAACTCAGTATTTGTCACATGTTCAACGATCACTTTCATTCTTATGTTACACACTGTCGAAATGGATAATAGTAAAAGTTTGTAAAGGAAATTCTTACTGTAGTCTGCCTCTCTTCTCATCTTTCTGTTGTATCTTTGTCAAGCATGAGGCTGTTGCGAAGGGGCAGGTTATGCGGTTTGTCTGGAGACGAATCAAGAGCGACCTTCGTCTAATAATAGCGCGATCGCATTCCTCTCTATGGAAAAGTGATTGTGCGCCCCTATTCGTGGCATTCCTATAGGCAGCCTTTCCGGGCGCTGTGCCGGTGTCATACATACATCGTTTACATAAATTCTTACTCTTTAGATTAGGCAGTAACAGCCATAAATGTTTCTTCTCTCCTTTGGGCAGCTCAATGGCAATTTTTATCATGGATTTCTCAAGGAATTCATTGGGCTTCAAATCAGAAGCAATACTTACCATAGAAATCTCTCAAACTATATAACTGATTGTAGTAAGAGTTTTTTGATTGTTCTCTTATATTCGCGTTGTAAGATAGCAATATAGTTGTGCTTTCGGGCTTAAATCCAAACAGAACATCGAAATACTTCTAGTGCTA